TTTAAGTCCTGGAATAGCTGATTATTTCTGTACTCTGGCTTAATGCTTGATTAATAATTTACCAGGCCATAAAATTCTACATTAAAAATAACCTCTCCAGAATTGTGAAGGCTTGTTCCTCTGCCTCCAGCATTGTTGATGAAAGCTTCAGTGTCATTTTGATTTCTCTCCTTTCTCTATGACTGGTTTTCTTTTTCTGGAAGCTTATGGGTTCTGTGTTGTTTTGTTTTTACTTATAACCTGAATAGCTCACAGTTACGTGCCTTACTTGGGCTCTGCTTTTTATTCATTGTTCTGTGAGGATTTTCATTTTGGAGACTAATACATCTCAAGTAATTTCACCCCTTCATTTACTTCAAGAATTGTTTTAGAACTCTTAGTCTAAATGTTAGACCTCCTGGCTTGAATCATTTTCACATTTTTGCTCCCAGGTTCCTAAGAAATTCTCTTCTGATTCATCCTTCAATCCTATTGGGCTTCCAGATATCATGTATAATATGTTTTACATTTGGATGGCTCTTCTTCTCTGATTTTCTTAATCAGCATTCTGTTCTTAATAAGCATTTTGTTCTTATTTTGGGAACTCATATCTGATTATATTTCTTTGAGGATGTTAATTATAGTTTTTTAACTGACCTTTCTTTTGACCTTATAGATTGTTTCCTCAAAAAATTTTTTTACATTCTCTCTCACACTCCCTCCTCTTTTCATAGTAGCTTTCCTCCAATGTCTGCTGAATTTTGGGCATACATTCATATTTAAATGTGATGCCCTGGCAGAGAAGCTCAGCTGGTCCCAGCACCCGGAAGAAAGCTCCCCACCTCCATCCCAGGCTCCTAGGGCAGAGAAGCTCAGCCAGTCCCAGCACCCGGAAGGAAGCTCCCTGCCTCCATCCCAGGCTCCTAGGGCAGAGAAGCTGAGCTGGTCCCAGCACCCGGAAGGAAGTTCCCCCACTGCCATCCCAAGCATCTAGGGCAGAGAAGGTGAGCTGCGTGGGCACCAGAAGCACCACCCCACCCCCCTGTGGAAATGAGAAGACACATAAACAAGCCTCAAAAGAAGACTTCTGGATCACCTACAGCAACCCTAAAGGGAGACGAGATGGAACACTCTGATACTCAACCACCTGGACTCTCTGAACTGACAAAAAAAGAGGATCTGGGAAAAATGAAATCAGAAATAATTACTCAAATAACAGCAAAGACTGTGCTCATGGTGCAAGACATGATTAATAAATCTAGAGAGGACACAGATAAAAAAAATAGAGGATCTGAGGAACATGATGGAATCCCAACATAGGAAACAAATGGAATCCATAAAACAGATACAAACAGATTT